CTGACTTCTAGGTTGGTGTTTGTGGTGTTGTTTGTGTAGATGTTGTATTAACAGGTATTTCCGACTCATGTTCTTCCATTCCTAGTGGATATAAATTTAATGAATAAATCATATACTATTCTTTGCTATGTTAGAGGTAAAAGGGAGTTATATGCGAGAAATGGTAGCTCAGGGACCGGCATTGTTTCGGAGTCCGAAATTTTTGATAGTTCCTACCAGGCGTTATATTATTATCGGTGAATGTCGTTAGGACCCCCAAAAGCCCCCTGTGCTGTGAGGTAGATTTTCGCCAAAAAGTCGGTATGTGACGGTTTTTCGGTTCTGCGAGGCCGGTTCGTAGGCGGACTTTTGTTCCGACCTCTGTCAGGTGGACTTCTGTGTACCTACATAGCCCTAAAACCACCTCAGTCGGCGACGTTCCGGGACCTATCCCGTATGCGGACTATCAAACCTACCTTCGGTGATGGGTGGGTCTGTATGTGGACTTTTGAACCTACATCTGGCCCAAAAAATGACCGTTTGTAATAAAATTGTACCTAGCTCCGCCTGCGGCGGGCCATTTTGAAAGTACACTATATAATCCCATCAATGCGAAATGTGATGGCGACGGCGGCCAACTTTGAACCTCCCTATTTGTATGCGGACTTAAGACTACCTCCCAGAGGGCTTTCGGGGCTCCTAGTCGTTCTTCAAAGTTCACTGATCATGTGACGACTGGCTGGCGCTACAAGTTGTGCGTCTCCATAGGAATATGCTGTCGAATGTCCGATCCGTATGCGGACGGAAATGGGTCCCAAAATCAGCCTATGTCCGATCCTTGTGCGGACGGAAAGCGAGAAATTTGGCCAGAGGTCCGATCCATTTTGGGTCCATAAATGGCCAGTCGGTAGCGAGGTCCCATCCCATTTGCGTACGTTTGTGGCTGTTGACCGGCCTCAAAATTTTCTCTATATAAATTTCACCACCTATCTCACCCACATACCTCCCCAAACCAGATCTCTCAGTGGGTGCGCCCTTCGGAGGTTCTGGAGCTACTCTGACCTGATTACAGTCGTTTTTTTAGTCCATTTCCGTTTTATGCGTACATTTTGGCCTAAATTCTATGTCCGATGAGCCAGAGATGTCTGATCAGTACTGCGGACGGAAGTGGGATCCAAAGTGCGGACAGAACCGCCGAAAAATGGCACGTACATAAGTGCTAAAATTGGCAGTTTTGGATTGGAGATTCAACAGCATATAGGGTCCCGTCTCCATTAGCTTGATTTTCACGTGACTAAATATGTGAGAGCAGTTCAAACTTGCGACAAGCTTAAACAAGGTACAGTAACTTGAATTTACTCATTTACTGTTTCTCTGCTCCTTTGTTCTCCATCTAGCCAAGCTTTCCCATCATTGAGACACAAAATTAGAGCACAAAGTCCACATGGGCTATGCCGTTAGCACTCGTGTGGAAAGGAATTTTAATGGAAGCGTGGTTAACTTGCAGATGATCCATATTACTGGTCGTACCACCCTCGTGCCAAGCTCCTTCCACCACACTTTGCATCTTGAAGGACGTGGGAGCTTATGGGAATACTCACGTTCAAGCTGGCTATTTTCTGCACTGGCGCGGTACACCATAGATAGGCATTAACCTACCGGAGGCAAAAGCCTCTTCGGTATAAGAAAGGCATGTTCATTCAAATTTAAAATTAATTTCGCACTTGCCTTGGGCTTATCTGCTCTTGCGAAATGAAGATGCGTACACATACCTTGTTACCCTTCTTTGTTACACTCCTCTCGCCGCTACTTGTCGGCGCTGCTCCTGATCCATGTGCAAAGATTGCAGGGCAAACATTTGTACTCCCTGCTGATGCGCTGGCCTGCTACAAGGCTTTCCCATTTGACGAGAACCTTCGTCAAAATGTTCTGACCAATATGGCTCGCGTTTTTAACTTTTACACTTTCGAGGACTTCTACTTGAACTCACCTCCGCCGTTTCAAGAGTCGACAAATAACATTCGGGCTACTTTAGCAAAGATCAATACCACAGTATTCGAGGTTTGTCGTCAAGTTATTGTCCCAATGTGTTTCTGCTTGGTCGAATAATTATTCGCTTTGGCAGACAGATTACGATTTCAACAAAGCTGTCTATGATTTCACCACTCAGCTAAACGATGGACACACCCGTAAAGTCATATACTCATCTCATGGCAATTTCAATCTAACTCTTTGTTCTTAGGGTATTTCCCTGCTTGTTACAACGCATTCCAAAGCATTCTTCCTGCCCCGATGGTGATCCTCGAAGAACAAGGGGAGCAAAACCTCTTCGTCGCTCCAGACTCAGTCGAATTCCTCTCTCTCCTTGGATCCGAATTTACGGGCTTCTTCGACTCCATTCACTTCAACTGGCAACGTCTCGCAGGTGCCAAAGTGCTTCAAATCGAAGACATGGACCCATTCGACTACGTCGACCTCATTGCAAGGACTGTGTCTGGAAACTTTTTAGATCACGGGGTTCGGGTCAACTCGGTGATCACAAGTTACCGTATATCCGGAACCGCCTTCTCTCAACGTCTAGGAGACTTGGCGGGGCCTCTTACTGTCGTTCAAAACTCTTTGAAAGTTCAGCTCCAAACAGTCAACTCTACGAAAGTTGAAACGGTCATAATTCCTTTCCTTGCTGACTATATCGGTGCTCCTTTCACCAATAAAGCATCTTTGTGCGTTTTTCTTCTTTTCACATATTATCCCTTGGAGTTATTTAAATGTTTATTTCAGTTGGGCAAACAACTGTGTCGCGAATAGCGCAACAAATGGTGTCGACCTCAGAGGCTCATTGTCAAATTTTGTACAGAAAACACGGAAGCAACCCGTTGCCTCCATTATTGATCCCTCGCACATCAGTGCCCTTGGACTCCCAGGGCCGTTCCTCCCGACCGCTCCTCCTGTTAATGGAAGTGAAGACGTTATAAAGTCCTTCATTCTTCCAGGAAATAAAACGGGTGTGGTAGGTCATCAGTATACGATGCTTTCATATGTCCCGTTAACCCCCTCCTCCTTAGATGTTTGTGGGCTCGTTTGCGCCTACAGACTTCAATCAATTCCAAGCCGATACTGTTGCAGCATTCAGCGACTTCAAGGCTGCTGGAGTGACACAGCTTCTCATCGATTTAACAAACAACGGCGGTAAGTTAGCTTTAGAGTATTTGTGTCTGTATATTTTTTAGCTTATACTCGATATAGGTGGATTTGTATGTCTGGGTCAATTTTTACACCAATTTCTCGCTGGTTCTGAAATCGGATATCCGTACGTCTAAAAGTAACTTGTTAGGGCTAACTTGCAAATCATAACATTAATGAATTGATAGCGGATTCCAAACAAACGTACGCGCCAACCCGCTTGCACAAAAGATTGTTGCAGCGCACGTTGCTATGGGTAACAATGACACTAATACCTTCTACAGTCCTGATAATTGTGAGCATGCATTCAAACATTGGCCTTCCCTCCGTACGTAGTGTCTAACATATGTTCGTAGGGGCATTCTTTAATGGGACGATCTTGCCGACCACATTCAACTACATCACTCCCCCACTGGTTAATGTTGTCAATGGTCAGAAAGATCCTGGTTCTCAGCGTGTCCATGTAGGGTTCCTCGCCTCTTCATACGTTGCTCGATCGCTGAAATACTACACACCTAGGACACATGCGAGGAGTCTTTTACGCAAACTGTACCTGTGAAGCCACCATTTAATCTTAAGTTTGTCGACACTCTTGAATTATTCACGTATTAACACTGATGGCTGTGGATGTTTTTTTTAATAGTAAAGTCGCCATTGGTAATATTTATTCTTTGGAAGGACGAAGAATCATTGATGATGATGATAATGTGTATCAGTTAGCAACGGAAATTGCGCTTCGACCTGTGCAATGTTCAGTACCTTGATGAATGAGCTTCATCGTACTAAAATTGCAGTCTTCGGAGGGAAACCAGGCGAACAAATGGAGTTTAAAGGTAACAACAAGCATCGCTCTCCTTTGGTAATTATACGGTGCTGATCCTTGCTTTCTACTTCTAGGGATGGCGGGAAATCAGGTCCTGGAGTGGGCCGATCTTGACACTGAAATTAAGTCTGTTGGCTTGGACAATGTGAGTTATTAAAAGTATCCCCAGAAATCCGCTTTTCTCAACTTATCCAAGGACCCCCTGGCTCCTCCTGATTTGTAAGTCGATATCAAATCTATGTTTAAAGTTTATGACTAGAAAGAACTTTTATTGATCAGGCTGGTCAATTCCAATTTCCGGTGTGTAAATCGTTCTCATATTTTGTATTTTCATTATTCACGAAAATTCCTTCATAGTCACAATTGGCGAACTGGTATGTTTGTTCTATCCGTTGTTCCAAGTCGTGTTTTGTCAACCTAAACGTTTATCAAAAAAAGCCTGGAGCTTCTTCGATGAAAGTAGGCCTATCGGTACGTTCGTTCACCTGATGTTATACCAAAAACATCACGCTGATTTTGTCTCCTTTTTTGTTTTGTTTATGACAGCTTATGTCTCGGAACTACCATTGCGTATGTCTACCTTTTTTTTTAGAAAGGATTCTATAACGCATACATTCTGCTAAACTTCTGGCTCCAAGTTCGTTTCCCCTATACTCAGGATACCTACAATAACCCACAGAATTTGTGGACCTTTGCGTGAGTTCAACCTCTTCGTATTCCAGGAAGTCGATGTCACAGTATCATCTACTAATAGGGCCTCCCAACTTTTCCCCGGCGATCACGAGTGATTTATTTAAATTTTCAGGATCGGGAAGGAAGTCGATGCAGTTCTGGGTCAAAGAGTTTTGGACAAAATCCTTGTATTTAAACGAAATTCGAGAAGTTGATATTAGGTAGTAAGCAGTCTGTAACTTGTATTTATGAGTAAACTTTTGTTTGTAAAGTGAGGGACTCGGGTGTGTACGTACTCTCCGGAAACACTGACCAAAAAAAAAGAGTAAAAATAGAATACACTAGCCCACCGCGAGGGTCGAACTCGCAGCCTTCAGATGCCCGGGCCTATACTTGAACAAGTTAGTCAGCCTTAAAAGTCTGACGCTCTATCCGATTGAGCTAGGCGGGCACATATACCCGCGACTTATAGCCAGTACAGTGATGCACAGTCTATTATGCCCCGAGAAGCGCTTATCATTTTATTTACAGATTCTAGTTTCATTAATCTCTATATCATTCATTACATACAAGGTACGGCTATTTATATAGGACCATGCAATGGTCCTTAGAAATTTTGGGGGTTCTAATTTTGGTCACCAGCGTGTCCATCGCTGATTCTATTCGTCTAGCCTGTAATACTAGTATGTTAGTGATGAATTGAGCTTCTCCGAGTCACTGATAGATCTTCGTTTACTAGTGCTGCCGAAGTCGAAGCACAGGCAAGTACGCAGCCAGATTAGTACCAACGAAATATCTACAAAATTAAAACTCAAATAAGGTGATAGGAAGACATCTCTCCTACCAGGACCAAGAGAGCCTTTTAGCACTGGCAGGTCTATAAAATTTGTAGAAGAAACTCATTTGGTCTAATTGTATTAGTATATTTGAACCAACTCTTCAGCGAGCCTCTCTACTCTGGGCTGACTACCCGCGTTGCTCGGAAATTTCAGCCATACTCCTTAGCGTAGGTCATACCATGCCGCGCCAGCTGGGGAATGTCTCTCGCCATCTGCCATCAGACTCGGAAGATACGCCACCATGACTCGATAATATGTCCATATATCACTCATAGTGACTTTGAACCAAACACCTGAAATAAATTTGTTTGACATAGGTAGTCTAAAAGCTAGGACCCAAAGAGCAAGTAGAGAAAAAATCGCTCGAAGCTAGTCGTGGTTTTTCCAAATATACACACTTTCGCACGGCTACACTATGTAACCGACTTTGAGGACAAAGCTTCAAACGCCCCAAATCTTCCACCGTTGTTTCGATGGGCTCGGCGATCATTGCAAATATTTTTGTTTGTCAAAGATCAACGATAAGTTCGCAATGACCTCGATCAAATTTTAATTGACATTCACAATGGCTGGATAGCACAGCAGTGCCGTGTATTCGCGTTCACCTGACATGTTCTCGTGCGATCTGCCAGTAGGTCCCTATGGCGAAGATAGCAAACCGGTCATACACTTGATATTGGTACGTGATATCCGGATATCCTTTTAACTTTAGTGATATACCATTTCGTAGTCACCTTGTGGATTATTCTATAAATCTGATGCCCCATCGCCACTATCGTAGTATCTACTACCTCGAATATGCCTGCACGTCACGTTGACTGGAAAAAGCTCTTTTACGTTATCTTTGGATGCATCGTTCTCGTTGGCGGTAGTGCCTTTGTTAGTCTAATTGCACTTCCGACGGGTGTCAATGATACTACTGTCCTCGAGCAGTTGCCCAACAAGGACGGCGTAACTACCCCTCGCACACTACTACTACATACCGTTCGTACTGACATGTTTCAAAGATATTCTTCCTAGGTCATGTCTATAAAGTCAATGTGTCAGACCGCACTATATCTGTATCGTGGCTCGTTGGTGGTTGTGGAAACCTCAGGTTGCAGAGGGCATCCAACTTCACGGACTCGAAATGTGGTCTAGCAAATGTCTCGTTTGATGTCTATGTAGATGGGTAAGGACCATTGTTTACATCTCAGCCGATCAAGCATCAATCAAGCCTTGCTCAGTGCACTATTTACCGAGTCCCAATTTCACTACGACCCCACAATCCATCCGATCGGAAATCCTCCGATGAATAACACTATATAGTAAGTCATCTGTGTTAGATGCCCGCAACTTCTTTAGTAAATCATGCCATCTTTACAGTGTACAAGCATTAAACCAATTCCAGTACACGCACACTATGGACATCAGTAGCGCGGAACTGCGCAACCACCGGCCATTCGAACAACGATATTTTTACCCTTTCGAAAAGTACCGGCTAGTAACCACCTTCATTGCTTTCAATCCTGCAGCCAACACCTCCCTCCCCATCGTCCGTCTTGCCATCTCCGACACTGTTAACAACTTCCAACCACAGCTGGACGAATGGGAAACACAGACATTTGTGAACAATACCCTCATGAATTCACGCACCACACATGTCAACATTCAGAGGACCATTAGCGCAAAGACCTTCGTCATACTCATCTTTACCTCGAATTGGATTATAACAGCTGCGGTGATGTATATCACGTGTATCGCTCTATGGTCAAATACTAAACTTGGAGACGGTGTCGTCCTTCTGCCAATGACGATAATACTCACTCTACCCCTACTCCGACAATTTTATGTGGATGCTCCGCCTATCGGTGAGCTTACCTCAGATCTCTTCTGTTAATACACCGACTGATGCTGGACGCATGCAAGGTGTCTTATTGGGTATGTTAAACCCATCAAGTTAATCATTTTTTCCTTATTATTACTCCCTAGATTCTCTGGGATTGATCCTACAAATGTTCCTCGTCGCGATTTGCGGTATTGTCTTGCTCTTAAACGCCAACAAGGTAAAAGATAAACAACCACCAAGACCCTTGAATCTGAAGTTGAAGGATTACGATGATTTCACTACTCAGTCATATACCCTACTTCCCTTTCGCAGATAAAGCGATATTTGTCAATGATACTGTACATATACTTCCGGGGCAACACCCCATTACATGCTATCCGGACCTATCGACTTATATCTCATTGGGAATAGCATTAGAAACCTGACTCATATCCAATTTATACAAATGTCAATGCAATGTCAACGTCTTAAATCAAGATTTAGGTTTTGAGCAATAGGAGGCATTGTATCGTATTTATAATGCATTACTGATGGGTCTCATATGAAAATGAAAGGAATGAAGTAATGCAAGAAGTGTTCAACTTACAATCTTAGACTTGAAGTGATGGCAAAGAACTGACTTACCTGCACCCTACAGTGACAACCCAGCCACTCTTGCCATCGCCTCTTCCATTTGCTCACGGTTCTAACAACCATGTCTCAGAATAATGGAGACAATGCCACCCAACTCACAACCAGGCTCGAACGCTTCCGGTTGTCAAATGTAGAACTCAGCCAGCAGCTATCCGATGCTCTAAGCCGATCTCAGAGATTGGCATCGTCCCTTGGCTTTCGCGACATTTACGAGGCCCAGGCTGCCATCGATACTGCCGATTTGGATCTCTCGTACAGGCAATGTTTCAATGAGCTGGAAGTGCTTAGGCAACAAGTCGGAGATTTGACGGCGCAACGGGATGGTGCTCTCGCAAGAGTGAGCGTGGTGGAAGAGCATAGACACCCTGCGCCTCGGTAAGGACTTTCAATCTGCAAGTTTTAACACCAATAACGATCGGTTCTCGCCACGGACAGAAATGTTTCCGATGAACTTCACCTCCGTGATTTGATTCCTGACGAGATTGCTGTGGATGTCCTTCCACAGGCACTCTGTCTTGCACACTGCGAGGTTTCCGGGCTGCGGCAGTGCAACGTCGACGATCTTCCAGATGAGGGGACAATCAGAGCGTACGAATTGACGAGCCAAGGCCTCGAAATATTGAAAAAGAATGCGAAGTTAGTTGGAGAATGGGAGGACATATTCAGCTGCCGGTACGTTCAATCGCTCTGTAAACGTTAACTTGAACTAACCCTGAAATTCAATACAACGGCAGGTACAAAGACCGCACATCGAAAGTAAGCCGGCTTACGAAACAGGAGTCGTTTCGCTTTCAACGCGCCTTGTATCGAATCATGCTGGTTTCGTGGTTATATGGCATGGGCAGCACCCCCGAAAGCGACATGCAAGATGAAGACTACCCATACTCATTTGTATATCAATCCCGGCAAACCAGATTCTTGATGAAATATCCTTCTGATGACCTTTTCGAAATCAATCGCATTGCTGGGGTCCTTATTTGTACAGCAAGGATCGCCATGGAGAAAGACCGCGGCTACCAGTCAACGCGTGATGTATGTGAGTGGGTTTCATCCTCCAACAAATAACAACCCAATGTCTATGTAGATGACTGGAACGGTCTCTATTTGTTTGCTGGGCCAGCATACATTATGAATGCATATCGCAACCTGGAAATGGACACCGATAAGGATAAAGAACTCTTTAGTTACATCTTCGACGACGGCCTATATGAGGGCTTTCTTACTTGTGGTTTGAAGCAGATACTCACGGCCGGGACAAGAAATTTTGATTCGAACTTCAGGCAGAGAGTTTTGGACTCTGTAGAAGGGGCCGATGATCCGTGTACGCACAGTCTCTTGCGGCTAACTCTATGCGAAGGGATTTTTTCAATGAGTTCTTGCCCTTGTAGGTAATCTGTGCCAATCCACGTCCAATATTTTCGGAGGAACAGGAACTTCCTTGAGAAATGAATCCTGTGAGTGCTGGACGATGATTCTCGGCTCTTCTAATGCGAAGCTGTTGCTCTGACTCATCAGCCTGGGACGATATGAAATTTACCTATATTCTCCCCGATTTACATGGCCTAATGTCGGGGATGAGTATCCAATATCCACAAACGTCATTACTTTCCAATGCGATCAGGACAATACCTTCAAGGAAACTTATGGAAGAAATATTTGAGCGGCGACAGGGGAAATATATTACGTGGAACCGTGAAGATTGGGTCTGTTCCAGCTGCTGGCAGAGTTTAATTTATGATACAATTCCAGTCTGGTGGGCTGAACGGTGTTCTCAGCAAATGTGCGGCTCGGACGGGGCGTAGTAAGTAATAGCTCCGCAGATACGCTGGTAGTAATTCGCGACGAAAGTCACGCAGGAATTTTGTCTGGACTCGAAAGTATCATAATCTCTTCTCGCAGCATTGTTGATATGCCGGCCGCTCATATAGCCTTTAGCAGCAATCCCAGAGCCTCATAGTAGTAGAGTCCAGCCCCACGACCAGAGAAGTGGATGAGATTCGACTGATAACATAGGTACGATGCCTTGTTCGTTTTCATCAAATACTTCTTGTTTTAGTCGTCGATCAAGGGTAGAATTAGCCTCAGCTTTTATGACCTTTCAATCAAAGAATATATTTGATCAAATCCAAATTTCTTCAATTCTCGTGTCTT